CCGTCTATTATGCATCCTGTCTGTCCCCAGAGTGAGTGGCCCCTCCACATGTCAGGAGCAGCAGGGGACACTCTGAGAGCTGGGCGCTTTACTGCATGATTTTATTTACTCCTCACTCTAGCGTTACGAGGGGGAGGCTGTCATCCCTAACTGTTTGAACACGTGAACTGAGACTTAGAAAATAACGTGGTTAGTGTCACAAAGCTTGTAGAAAGCAAAGAGGACCCAGCCCATGTGTGTCTGATTCCACAGGCTGTGCTTTGAGCATAATGATACGGCTGTGTCCAGCACCCCTGGTCCCAGGCTCAGACAGGGAGGTGCTCAATGAACCCCAACTGACTGACTGACTGAATGAATGAATGGCCCACTCTCCTTATTTACAATCAATTCCCTAAACAGGTTTATGACATTTGGTTGGTGGGTGATTTAGAAACCCTGAGGACCCCAGACATGCATCCCAATATATAATAATAAAAGTGAGATATACAGACAACTTGGGAAGATATATTTTTTCTTCTGGTGTGGATGAGTCAAGTTTTAATGAACAAATATGAACATTTGCCCAGAATTAGACAAATATAATTGTGTGACAATAAGTCCTTCCCATCAGTAGTATCCACCACTGATGCCATTGCCTAAGTGTGCCTTCGGTTTTGAAGGTGTCACTTACCAGGAAGGGGTGGTGCAGGGAAAAGAGAAAAGGCAAAGGGTTAAAATGTGGGCAAAACCCATTACAAGCCTTATGCACGTACTACATAAATCCACAAGAGGGAGCCAAACCACACACGATTGGCCCGACTAAGGCTGTCAGGGGTTGGCTCAGTATGGTGCCTCGGCTGATTCGGGGTGCCCTCCCAGGGCGGAGAGAGCCATCTTGACCATCCTCTGCACATCTCAACCACTGTGGGTCTGAGAACTTTCCAGGCTTATACATCTGGCTGTGTAACGCCCATTCCTGATTCTCTCGGGCCCCCCCGGCTCCGTCCCCTGCTTTCCTGCTGAAGCAGCCCGCTGCGGAGCTTCCCAGTTCTGTCCAGATCGTCTCTCTCCAAGGCTGGTGGGCAGGGAGCGGTGGCAGGGACGCTTCTGGCAGAGCCACACCCCTGCTGACCCTTGTTCCCAGTCCGAGCCGTGTGGGTGCGCTGCTCCCAGGGGCCATGCTGACCTGGCTCTGAACCTCCTCCAGCCCAGGGAGCCCCACCCAGCCCTGACACTTCTTCCTTGTTCTGGTCTGAGCGCTTCCTCCAAGAAGGTGCCAGAGTAGGCCGTCACTCCGTCACTCCGTCACTCCGTCACTCCGTCACTCCGTCACTCCGTCACTCCGTCAGTGCCTGGCTCACCCCTGAGCGGCCACTGCTGCAGGGGGCCTGGGAGGCGGGGACGCAGGAGCTCAGGGCTCTGTTCCCACATGGCCCCCTCACCCCTGGCACCCCAGAGGCAGCAGTGCCTTGGGGAGTGCCGTGGGGATGCCAAGAGCTGTTCTGTTGTCTCCAGGGGGCAGGTGGGACACAGGAGAGAGGTCACAGGGCAGTGGATCTGGTTAGTGGATCTAGTCAGTGCCCGTTCTAGTTCTACCCTCAGAAAGGCAGATGACACCCATACACAGTAAAGAATGAGACAAATGAGAAAAGACAGCAGTGTGGGGCTCATTGGTAGATGAGGGAAACTGAGGCTCAGCTGTCCAGGAGCTTGTTCAAAGTCCCTCAGCTGGTGGAAGATGGAGCTGGGGTTCAAACTCAGGTAGGTCCTCAATGATAATTCACCATTTGGGGCTCCTGTTTCTGCTCCCCATTAGGTATATTCTGGAGGGAGAGAGACCATGCAGACGTGGCCGGGGTGAGGACGGGGCAGGGCATGTTTGAGGGGCCACAAGCCCATGGAGGCAGGGGCCTCTAAGACCCCGTGATGGAGTGGAGCTGGCACCTGAACAGCAGGGAGGACCAAGTGTTCAGAGAGTTGCGGACTTTCTCTGAGCACGGGGCTGTGGGTTCTAGAGCAGAACGTAGACCCCAGAGGTCTTTTCTTAGGAACCCTTCCTCCTCACCTCCCTGCCTTCTCACACCCTTCCCACCGAGCTGCTCAGAGTCCTGCTTCTCCCCTGGCAGAAAACAGAGAGTGTAGGTTTGGTGAAGGGAGTCTGTTTTCTCTGCCCCACCCCACCCACCCTCGTTGGAAGACCCTCTCGCCACACCTCCCCCACCTGGCTCCCCAGAACAAAGGTACTGCCCCCAAAAGAGGTCTTCCCTTTGGCCTCTCAGGTCCCCAGAGCCAACCGGATCTTCCAGAAGCACTGATGTGTCTGGCTGAAGCCTCTCAGAGGCTCCATGGGGCTTGTCTGCAACCCTCGCCCTGTTTGCCAGAGAGAAAACCCTCCCAGCAGGCCCATCTGTGTGTCCCCTGTCTTCTCCAGCTGCCGGAGGAGTTTTGGGGCTGGGGGCTGGGGTCCTTGTCTCCTCCCCGACCCTCCCTATCCCCTCCTGGGTGCTGTAATCTCTGACCCCAACCTTACTTTGCTCCATTGGTTCCTCAAGGCCAGATACAGCCCCAGAGCCCCTCATCTTTGTCCGCCGGGAAGCTGGCTCTTCCCCTGCCTTTACGGTGGCCTTGCCAAGTCCTGGAGAGCAGGGCAGGTGGGTTGGGCTTAATCGGTCCTGCCTGGCACTGGGCCTGCACCCAGGACTTGTCTGCCACCACAGCTAAGTGGCCTTCCCATAGCTGATGAGCTCAGCATCTCAGCTGGGCTGGGGGGAGAGTTGGGGAGGGGACTTAGGGATCCCCCTCCCCACCGTAGCTGCCGGAAGGTGCATGTGGCTCTAACCTGAGGTTTTCAGCCCTGGTCTGGCCTGCTCCGGGTGGGAGGGACGGTCCTCCCAGTAGCTCTCCGTGGTGTGGGAGTGGGGTTTGCATCAGATTCCCTTACCACCACCCTCGACAGGGCTCCTCCTGCACCTCGAGGGAAGCCTGCATTTCTTATTATTCCATAGCAGAGTATTGTTTAGTTTTTTTTTTAAAGATAAAGGCTTCAGTTGGTAAAAATAATGCTTTTAGCCCAGCTAGTGTGGCTCAGTGGTTAAGTGTCGACCCATGCACCAAGAAGTCTCCGGTTTGATTCCCGATCAGGGCACATGCCCAGGTTCCGGGTTAGATCTCCAGTGTGGGGCACGCAGGAGGCGGCCAATTGATGTTCTCTCTCATCGATGTTTCTATCTCTCTCTCTCCCTCTCCCTTTCTCTCGCTCTCAAACTAATAATAATAATGATGCTTATACTCAGATCATATTTATTATTAAAAAATTTTTTAAATCCTCACATGAGGATACTTTTCCATTTATCATCAGATAGAGTGGGAGGGAGGGAGAAAGAGGGAGAGAGAGAAACATCAATGTGAGAGAGTCATATCGACTGCTGCCTCCCGCCAGGGACAAACCACAACCAAGGTACGTGCCCTTGGCCGGAATCAAACCCGGGACTCATTGGTCTGTGGGCTGACGCTCTACCGCTGAGCCAAACCGGCCAGGGACAGGTCATATTTTAAAAGACAAGGAAGGGTACGTAGTTCTATTTGGGTGAGGATAGGCTTAATTAAAACAATTAAGTTGTTCTAATAATAAACATCCCCAGAAGACAGAGTGGGTCCTTGCAGATGCCCCTCCTCTGGCCCCTGCTTTGGGAAATGTTTCTGTTTTAGAAGTGACCCCCGGAGCACAGGTTTCAGGCTGCAGCTTCTGGGTCTCCGGGTGGATCAGCTGCTCCGCTTTTCTTGTCTGTCTGATCCTCGTTATGAGACTCATAGAGTTTCCACTGCACTTGCCGGTTGTCACAGAGAATCTATTACTTTTCTTAAAAATTTTTTTTTCTTGATTGAGTTTAGAGAGAGAGGAAAGGAGAGGGAGAGAGAGACAGAAACATTGATTAGAGAGAACATTGATTGGCCACCTCCTGCATGCCCCCTACCGGGGATTCGGCCCACAACCTGGGATGTGCCCTGAGCGGGCATCAAACCAGCGACCACTTGGTGCATGAGCCAGTGCTCAACCACTGAACCACACCGGCCGGGCATACTTTTCTAACATCAATAGAAATGTGAGTAAGAGAAGGAAACTGAGGGAGATAGATGATAGATAGATAGATAGATAGATAGATAGATAGATAGATAGACAGACAGATCTCTTAATGGTATGGGCTTGTCTACAGCAGAAACAGGGCTGCAATCCTATTGTCTAAAGCCCCCACTTCTACCTCTGACCCTCAATAATGCAGAACACAGGTGCCCCCTAGGTCAATCAGCATCTTTGCCCAAGGTCATTGGAGACCAACTTGGGTTAAGGACCTAGGAGGTCCTGGTATCTTGCGATGGTCTCCAACCAGGACGTGAAGGCGCTAGGGCCCTGGCCAAGCCCTCTCGACACCGAGAGATGTGCCCACCTTTTGGGTGGACAACCACAGAGGGAAGGCCACAGACAGGCCCGGCGAGTCAGATCCCTGGGCACTGTCTGGCTCCCTGCACTCTGGTGGGAGAACTGAAAAATGCAGCGACACAGATGGTGGCCCAGATGCCCTTTGGGGGGCAGCCTTGTCCTGGTGTTAGAAGGCCAGGAGGGGTGTGCAGGAGTACCCCTTTCTCTCCCAGGCAGGCGGCATGGGTGGTTAGCAGCTTGTGGCTGGTGTGGATGGAGTTAAACCTTTCCGGGGACTATTTACTCCTGATCCTAAGTGACAGCTTGGGGAGAGAGGGTCACGTGGCCCTGAAATCCCCCTGGGAGCCCACGGAGCATGCCCAGCTGCTTCTGCCTGGGAAAGATGCTGGATCCTGCAGTCTCCACAACAGCATCCTCTCCTGGAGCCAGGGACCTGCCAGCCGGAGGGATGACTGATTAGACCAGATCGGATCCAGAGCCCTGCTCTTCGCAAGGGGATCCTGAGGGGCGGGAAGAGGACCCCAGCTGGCCTGAGCTGGGGGAGGGGTGCTTTGGGGCCCAGAGAGTTATAGCTTTTCAACGCGAGTGGGGCTCACACCTCAGAAGCCGGTGAGTGTTTTGATGCATCCTGTAGCCGAGGCGGGAGGAGGGAGGTTGGGCTCTGGTCCGGGCTGGCAGCCGCCTGCCCTGTGCGTCTGGGCTGCTGGCACTGCGGTGCCACCGCCTCCCCCCTCCCTTATTCTTGGCAGCGTCACTTGGGGATCATGGATTCTGAAAATGCTAATTATAGCCCTCTCTGTGTGCCCCCCTACACACCTCCAGAATCCCCAGGAAGGGCCGATGTATTTGAATTTATTATATTTCAGTTGCACCTGCTAGGTGGGGCCAGCTCGGGGATGCCAGCTTCCTAGTGTCCAGCTGGGCCCCCCAACATGGCTAGAGCACAGAGGCCAGCCCCACCCTGCCTCTATGCTTGCCAGAGGACTGTGGTGATGGCTAGCAGGAAGGAGAGATGGAGGGAGGGCCCGGGTCAGGCTCAGGTGGGCAGGGCTCGGGGTGTCCGTCTTTTATGGGTCGGAGGTTCGCTCTAAGATCTCCTGAAGCTCTTGCACTCCCAGGGGACATCTGATCTCGGGGTCTAAGATCAGGTGGGGAGCACCCGAAGGAGCTGGACCTGGAGTGTGGGCGTGGGGGGCCTGCTGGGGCCCGTTTATAATGGTGGGACCAGGCTGCCACTGGATAAGAGCCTCGGGCTTCTTGTATGAGGTTCTGGGCAAAAGAGCGAGGTTGGGGAGCTGGCAGAGAGGGGCGGGGGCCTCTCTGTGACCACAGGCAAGCCAGGGAAGGGAAGAGAGCGAAGAGCCAGGATGGAGGGAGCCAGGCCTGGGGTGCAGGGGCAGGGAGGCCGAGTTGCAGGGGAGAAAGCGGCGGGAGGAGATGGGCTCAGAGTCAGAGTCCAAGGGGGTCGCAGCCTTCAGGGCTTGGCAGTTCTTCCCCAGCCCTGTAGACTTAGAGACCCATCACCCTCAATCTGGCGGTGTGGGTGGTGCGCTCCGCTAAGGGCGCGTGCCTGTGGGGTGGGAGCCCTGGTGGCCTGTCTGTGACTGAGCCTGCAGACCAGCTGTCCAAGGGGCATTGCCGGCCACTGCCCATCAGATCCCCCAAACCTGCTTCCCGGTCCCCCAGAGGAGCATGGCTTCCACCTCGTTGCAGCTGCTTTTTAACCCGGGCAGGACGTGAGCAGGTCCCGTGGCGGGAGAGGAAGTGGGGGAGGCCGCACGGAGCCGCAGTCCTGGGGCTCCGGCCGTCTCCCGGTGAGGGTGGCAGGCGGGCGAAGGTGCTGGCTGGCACTGCCCTGGGCTTTCCCGCGGGAAACAAGCAGCCTGGGTCTGCTCACCTCGGAGCCCTGGGCTACAGGAAGAAATCAGTAAAAGCCTTTGCGTTTCCAGTGCAGCAAGGTGGTAAATGTGTTCACCCGGGTGTAATTCACCCCGGGCGGCTCAGGCTCTAGACAATGGGACTTTTTTTGTTGTTGTTGCCAGGCTGGCTTCGTTTCCTTCTTTACAGAAAGGTGATGGTGCAGGACGCATTACACAGATAATTACTTTTAATGTTCCTGCCTGGACGGAGTTGGAGTCCTCCTGCTCGGTGGAAACGACGTCGTTACCCAGGAAGTCAGTGAGCCAGGAGCAGCCCTGGCTCCCGGCCGACGTCACGGCCTGTAGGATGGAGATGACCCCCCAGGCCCAGCCCAGCCTTTGTCCTTGGGCTCAGAGGAGGAGCTGGGGGCGCCCAGGGCCCTGGACGGGAGAAACTGAGCTGAGAGTGGGCCCAGCCTGGAATGAAGAGCTGTGACGGCCAGTTCTGATCAGCTTCGGTCCCTCTGAGCCCAGTCCTCTCTGTCGTCCTCCCTGGCCCGTTGGGGGGGTCCCTGAGGCCCTGGGCATGGCCCCCCGGGATGGTCGGGAGGAAGAGGAGTGAATCCGGCTGCAGTGGCAGGAGAGGGTCCCGGCTCGTACAGCTTCTGCATGGGGTCAGCTCTGGTCGGATGAGGTCTGGAGCCAGTGAGATGACCGGCAGGCCAGCCTCCAACCTGTTAGAAAAACACGTAGAGACGACAGGACACACGTTGGGAAACACGTAGACTAATGCAGCGCAGAGAGAAAGAGAAGGTGGGCGGAGGCCGAGTGAGGCCCGTTCCCAGGAGCCCTCTCTGCACCTGCCGGTGGAGCGCTGGCTGAGCTGATCCACTGGTTCTGGTCCACGTGTCACTCAGAGAGTGGGTGCGCTGCCTGCCGGGGCTGTGGGAAGAACACCCATCTGGAATGTGAAGACATCAGTTCAAATCCTGGTCCCAATGAGCAGCTGGATGATTTGTAGGAAGCCTTTGTTTCCGAGTCTGGAGAATGGGTTCGTACCATTACTGGCCTATCCAATTGACAGCTAGATGAATAACTTACATGGAAATGCTTTGGAAGTGGCAAATAATTACACCAATGTCAGTTATTATTAGACGTGGGTATTTGAACAAGGCCTATCAGCAGGCAGTGCTTTAACTCAGAGTTCAGACAGGTGCTGAAAAGGGTTAGTAGATGTGTAGGGTGATGCTGAACCCTCCTAGGTCACTTATTTAGTCTCTGTGAAAGGGTGGTCCTTGTTGTGTGATTTCAGGAAATTGGGCTAGGCATGTCAATGCTGATCTGATAAACATTTGGGGACAATGAGGCTTTGCTCCGGCAGGGCCTAGGCGCCCCCTCACGGGAAGGCCTCTCCTTGGCTCTGACGTCACCAAGGCCACCCAGTCCAGCTCACTCCTGAGAACCTCACTCTATGACTGCAGGTGCCAATTTGCTTTTAATTAGTCTAATGCTTGCAATTAGCCTGTTAAAATCAACCTAACCTCTGGTGGTAAGGTCACTTTTCTGATTTTGCTTGGTTCCTGAGTCCTCGTTAGCATCAGTGGGCTACCCCAGGCCTGCTGGCCTCAGCTGAACCGGCGGCCCAGCTGGGGAACGGAAGAGGTCACAGCTGGGAAGGGAAACCCCTTTGGGGAGGTGGGATGGTGGATGGGAGTGTGCTGATGGAGGGGTCATTAGATTTGTTAGTATCTGCTCTGGCTGGTGTGGCTCCATTGTTTGGGCATTGTCCCGTGCACTAAAAGGTTGCTGGTTCGATTCCCGTTAGGGCACATGCCTGGGTTGCTGGCTCGATCCCCGGCAGGGGGCATGCAAGAGGCAGCCGATCGATGTTTCTCTCTTTCTCTCCTTCTCCTTTCCTCTCTCTCTAAAAATCAATAAAAAAATCTTTTATAAAAAAAGACTTGTTAGAATCACAAGTGAGGTCTAGAAGCCAGGTTTCCTCCTCCTCATCCAATGTTCCTCCCCTTTGAGCCTCAGTTTCCCCATCTCTAAAATGGGGTTAATAATTCCTACCTTGCCTGTATTAGTGAAGTTCAAATGAGTTCATGTAGGAAGTAGTCTGAATGTAAAACAGTGCAACATGAAATGGCTTTATTACATCAAACAGGAAAGTTCTTTAAAGTTATACAGAGGGTCCCAGGGTCCCTGGCCACTAGTTCCTGGACCCCTGCCAGTAATTCCTGATCCCCATTGTCTTCTCATACTGTCATTCTCCTCCAAACCATGGGCAATTTGAGGGCATTAGCATATAGTAGGTGCTCAATAAATGTTGGTTGGATATATGAAGCTTTGGTTGAGAGGGAGTTTGGCCCGCAAAAATAGACACGAGGAAACAGTCCTGAGAAGGCTTTGATGGCATAGTAGGGGGCATTTGTTTTCCGTCCTGCTCAGCCTTACCCCCAACCCCCCTTCACTAGATGGGGCTGCTTTCAAGGCGAGAGATGGTCCTGTTCGTCTGTGTCTTTGTGATGTTTCATGCAGAGCCAGACATGTAGCAGTTGTCGGATACCTGCTCCTTGAATGCGTGAATGAATGAATGAGACGAGGGAATGTGGCAGGGAGTGCACGGGACTGAGAGTCCGATGAATCGGACTTGGAATCCTGGCCCCACCACTTCCTCCTGGCAAATATTTACCGCATGCTCATTATGTACCAGGCAGGTACCAGTTTTCAAAAATGACTTTTCACAGTCTATTAAGGGAGCAGACGTGTGAACAAACAGTCGTCCTGTGTATGATAGAGACATATGCTCCATATGCTAGTGGGCGAGAAACGAGAGCCATAGACTCTCCTGGAAGAGCGAGGAAGGGTTCCCAAAAAAAGGGACCTGAAGGTGGGTCACTCAGCTTGGAAAAGTCACTTAATTTCTTTGGGTGTCGGTTTCCTAAGCTACCATGTGAGGAGACTAGAGCCTTCTTCACAGAGGTGAGGACGAAATAAAACAATAGGACTAAAACATCTGGCGCGGAATCATCTTTAATAAAGGTGAACACATTTCCTGGAAGCCAGGCCAAGTTGGTGGGGGAGGGACAGGAGCCGAGAGCTCAAGGAATTTCAGAAGCTGATCCATGCTTCCTCTTAGCTGGGCTCACTGATACCTACGTGACCTTGAACACGTGCCTTAACTTCTCAAAGTCTCAGGTGCTGTACCTGCAACGTGGGGATAATAACTTTGTCGTGTGGATCGAGGGAGAGGCTTCACGCACGGTAGCTAGCTCATGCTTGGCACACAGCAAGTGCCAGGAAATAAGAGCTCTTCTTTGTTCTTGTTTCCAACATACTTCATGGAGAGACTGCACGGTGCACAGACATACACGTGTTGCATGCATGTTAATTCTCAGATGTGCCAGAAAGGGAGAGGGGTGAGGGGGCTCAGGGTTGGGCTGAGTGACATCCCGTTGCTGCTTAGTCTGAGAAAATTTCCTTGAGGCGAGGTGACTGGGACTCTTGAAAAGATTGGAGGGACCAGACCTGAACAGTGAAACTGAGAGGTCATCTTGGGGCTCATGCCCCAGGCTCCAGCCTGCCTCATGGGAAATTAAGAGGCAGCCCCCTGACAGCAGGCACATAGGCCCCCCCTCCCCCCACCAGGGCCAGTCCTGATGGCAAAATCACAGCAGCTCAGTTGCCTGGCTGGTCCCCTGACCTTCCTAAACAAGACAGCCTGGCCGCCACGCTGGGTTGCCGTGG